CGGTGTACTTGGGGGGGGGGGCTGCCTGCAGGGAATGGAAGCTTGAGACAGGTGGGTGGCAGTATCAGTGTGGGAGAACTCCCAAAGGTAGGTCATGAGACATAGCTTAGACTTCCTTGGGGTGAGACAGCCTGAGGTTGGCACACCATACCCCACCCTTGATTGCTCCCCCTCCTCCCTTGCCAGCTCGGCTGGTATGTGCAGAAGTGTTCCCTGTGCCACTGAAGGCCACCCATCTCCTACGGTTCCCAGCCTGGGCCTGGGCTCTGCAACCAAGCCAGGGAAATAGGAACAGCTTCAGATCTCAGCCAGAGCCTGCTAACAGGAGCCGGTGTAGGCATGAGGGCCACTCCCCCTCTGTCCCTGATCCTTAGCCCTGGCCAGTCTTCTGTCATCTCTGGTCTCAAAACAGGGTGTAGCTCCTGAGCTCTTGATTGTTGCCCAACTCATTCAGTCCAGGACTCAGCAGGCTAGGCCTAGGGTCACACCCCTCCCACCTATAGGGGTCAGAACCAGGTAATTCAGTGTTCCACTCCGCTTGCCAGTGGGCCCACCCAGGGACACCCATGGCCCCTAGAGACATCCAGGTACAACCTGATGGCCACCACTGGGGAAGGCTCTCTGCTCTCGGCCCCTACCAAAGCTGGTGGTCGTCAGTGGGTGTCTTTGTCCTGGACTGTGGAGAAGGCAGCAGGCTGCTTATATCCTGCCCTACAGGGCTGCGCTTGCAAAGTCACACTTCCTGCCTTGCTGCTCAGAAGAGCTGCCTGCTGCCTTGGACCAGGACCCTGAATGCCCCTTCACACTTGAAGTCCTCGAAGACAAAGTTCCCCGATGGTGTCCACCAGGCCTCATCCCTGAGGCTAGGAGAAACCATTCAACATGGACCTAGCTCCTCCTGTCAAGGGTCTTTCCCTCTGGCCAGGGACTCCGTCACGCCTGGGAATGCCCATCCCAGAGCAGCTCAGCTTGGTGAGATCTGGTCCCCTGGTCACCTTCCCAACCCCAGATGCCAGGTCCCATGAGAGAGGTTCTTCAAGGGCCCCAGACTGACTGAGAGTCACGGGCCCAAACCAAATAGCAGGGAAGAAGGGAAA